GTCAAACCCCATCTCTATTAAAAATACAAAAATTTTAGCTGAGTGTGGTGACAGTTGCCTGTAATTCCAGCTACTAGGGAGGCTGGGGCAGGAGAATTGCTTGAACTCCGGAGGCGGAGGTTGCAGTGAGCCGAGATTGCACCACTGCACTCCAGCCTGGGCAACAGAGCAAGACTTGGCCTCAAAAATATATATATAAAGTTAACAGTGAATATACTTTGGTCACACCATAGTGATGCAGTTTCCTTTTCTAAGGATTGCTGGGGTTTTTTCCTTACCCCGGTTCTGCAGTTAAGCAAGACTCAACAAGTATTTTTTCTATACCCTCTAAAAAACTGCAGTTGTTAAACCCTGCATTTGTTGAGCTTAGGAGTCAAAACTGGTGTACTAGCGGAAAATAAGTATTTTAAACTTTAAAAAAAAAAGAAAACTTTTTACAAGTCAGATGTGAGCAAAAATGCCATAGAGACATGAAAGAGCATCCTGGATCCAAAGATGGGAGATTTCAGCAAAGCCTGGAAGGATCTGAGAGATCTTGGGAGGTCAAATGGAAGGAGGGTGCCAGATGACACCACAAAGCAAGGAGAAGAGGGGTTCCCTGGGGTGGGGAGGTGCAGAAATAGGAGGAGGAGCCTTGAGAGAGCCAAAGTTCAGATGCGGTGGCCGATGCGGGATAGGTCAGGGACAGAAGAAATCAGAATGATTTCCCAGGTGTCATCACGGTTAGAGGCCAGGTTCCCCAGCATGAACCCCACCCTGGGACTTTGGGCAAGTTCCTTAGCTTTTCTGCTACAGCCTGCCCTGTGAAGTGGGGATAACCACAAGAGGTTGTTGGGAAGCTAAAAGCCATCCCAGAAAGAGTGCTCGGAGCAGGCGCAAGTGGCAGCTGGCAGCACCATCAGCCCTACCCCTGAAGCTGCCCCCTGATGAGTTTGCTTTTTGCCCTTTCCCACCTATGTGAGACCTTAAACAAATAGGTTCTAGGAGGGTGAGCGCACTTTTGGTGTTCAGAGGGACCCTGATCTAGGAGGAACCAGCTGCCAGTTGCATTTGGCCAGACTGGTCCAGACAGGCGGTGGTGGGATGCGGGAGCCCAGTGTCCTTCCCATGCCCATCCCAGGCTCTTGGTGACTTGCACAGGCTCATGCCCATGTCCCTCTCGTTCCAAGTCTTTAACTAGTGTGCCCTGGTCAGGACAGCCCTGCACCAGGCCCCGCCACCTCTGGTGCTCTCCCAGCCCTGCCTCCTCCCTGCGGCTTGCCGCTGGCCACGCCTTTCCTGATACCATCTCCTACAGTGGATCCCTGAAAGAACTCAGAGCCACAGCACTGTCCCCTGCCCCTCCAGGCACTCCCAGGGCTGCCTCTGGTTCCCTGTAGGTGAGGAATTTCTCCCTCCTGTGGGATGTGCCATGGTATGCATCAGATTCAGGAGCTTATTGGGAAAAGGAAGGAAATTATTCCTGGCCCTTTCACCATCTGGGCTCCAGGGAGGGAAAGCTGTGTCCTGGTTTCTGTCCTCACCCTTTGCCTTAGTTTGGTGCTGCAGAAACAAGAGTGCTTGGTTGGTCCCCAGCAAGCAGGATGGCCCTGGACACCTTGCCTTTCTAGCAAGAGCAGGCAGTTGGCACAGGCTCTGAGAGTAAGCCAGCCCGTTTCCTCTACAGATGCAGGCAGAGCTTCGCACACAGACGTCATCACACCCCCCCAGACCCCACTTAGCATGCATGGCACAGACACCATTGAGGCCTGCACAAATAGTGGGCACGAGGTACAGAGAGAGCGGGGAGGTGGCCACGGTGAATCAGGGTCTGCAGTGCAGAGGGGCCGCCCTCCCTGAGGGAACCGGCCGATTGTGGGGAGGGGCTCCAGGCACAGGAAAGAGTACCCCAAGGTCAGGAGGTGGGAAGGAGGCACCTGTGTCCCAAAATGTCCAGCAGACATCACCAGCAAGTGAGATGGAAGTGAAGGGTCTTGAATCCTGCCCTTGACAGTGGGGCTTTACACTGTCGGCAGGGGTTTCTCCAGGGTGGGCAGTGGGATCTCTGTGTGCTCTAGGGAGAAGCAGGCTGTCCTCTCACTTGAATCCTAAGCATAAATTTACATGAGCTCATTTTGTGGTGAGATGGCAGAGCCTCCAGATCACTTGGAATTGCAAGGAAGTGGGCGGAGGCCCCAGGCACTGGTGGTTGCTGGGGGCAGCTCTGCATTGTTCACATTCCTCTCCCAGAAGCTCCAGGGGCCAGGGCAGTGCCAGGCAGAAGAGGGGGCCTTGGCCGCTTTCACTGCTTGAGGGCAGCCAAGCTTGCTGGGACATGTACACCATCTTTGCATGCCTTGCAGCTCTGGTGAGGTGTGGCTGGCAGGCCTGGCCTCCTCCTGGTTGATGAGGGCTAGGTCTCCCAGCCTCTGCTCATTTCTCCAGCTCACAGTCTTCCTTTTGTAATTTGAATGTCAATGTCTTTTTTGCTCTCAGAGTGATTTTTCTTTATTTATGTTTTTGGGTTTTTTTTCTTTCTTTCTTTTTTTGTAGAGATGGAGGGGGAGGCAGTCTCACTGTTGCCCAGGCTGATCTTGAACTCCCGGCCTCAAACACTCCTCTTGCCTCATCCTCCCAAAGCGCTGAGATTATAGACCTGAGCCACAGAGTCTCACCAGTTGTTTTATGTTCTTTATCTTTTTACCTGTTTGCCTTTTGTAACTTGGGCTGCATTAAATTTACTCCTACTTGTGAGTAAATGTGAACCATGACAATGAATTTAATCTATCCCCAGAACCCAGAACCCTCAGTAACAAGCATCCTTATTTCTACATTATTCGTATATTTCTACTTAAATTACTTTTCGATTCCTGCCTCTAAAAGAAGAGAGAGGTTTTGTGTTTTGTTAATTTACCACCCTCATCTCTTGCATTCCAAATCCCTCATTGATTAGACATTTAACTTGGTGCTGGGACCATTCCCTCTGCCCACCCTATTCCCTTTTGTGTCTTTTATCTTTAGGCTTCCAGAAGGCTTATTCCAAGTTAGCAGTTCCTGATAAGGACGGCCCTTTTGTGGGCTGTGAGCTCCCTGCATCTCTTACTTCCCACTCTCCATGCTGCACTGCAGGCCCCTGCCACAGCCAGTCTTTTAGCAAAGTTTGTAGGCAGAATCTGTGGATATTCTAAAACTGATGATTCTGGGAGATTCTCCTTGCCTTCTTCATTCAGTTCTCAGAACCTGGAAGTCCTCATGAAGGTGATGGGCTATGAAACTTCCCCAAATTCTCCATCCTAGAACTTGGGGTGTTTCTTGGAGTTTCATGTCCGTTTGTCACCATAGAGGAACGCAGTTTTTCTCCCCAGGTTAGCAACTGTGTAGGACTTCTTTTTTACTTTTTTCTGTATCCAGTCTCATCTATTACTGTATGGGGACTTGTTGAAGAAAGTTTCCCAGCCCGTGTGTGTCGAAGCCAAAGGTGGTGTCCCTGCTGTGGGAAGAATCAGAGGGGTCAGGTACCCTTGGGGAAGGGGCTGGGAAAGAGAAGCGCCCATGCTGAGCAGGTGCTGGGAGGTGAATCCCCCAGGGCAATGGAAATAATATGGAAGCAGGGTGCTTGAGGGCAGGCAGGCTGGGGAGGCGACTGTGAAGGTTCTGAGGAGTTAGGAAAGAAGAGGAGCTGGAGCCACCCAGGGAGGAGGGAGTGAAGGCACAGGCTTTGGGATCCCTCCTCGGCTCCATCTTTCTTCCTGACACCTCAGGCAAGGGACTACCCCTCTCTAATCCTTGGGGTTCTCATCTGTGAAATGGGGGCTTGTCCTGGCTCATGGGATGTTAGGGGCAACTCACAGGGGTGGTCAGCTCTGGGCATTCCTAAGGACTTAGGGAAGAAGAGCCCACGTGCCCCACAGTGGGGTCAGTGCCTGGAACCATCCCAGTGCCTCTCCTCCAGCCAGGGCTTAGCAGGCCTGAGCCGTTATAGGCTCACAGTTCCCTCCCCCATTAGAGAGTATTGAATAGGCTTGATGGTGTCCCTGTCTGACCTCCTGTCTGTCTGGGATTAAGCCTCTGCTTCTCTCCTGGCCACCCCTCGGGTGGCCCCAGCAGCCTCTGGGAATCGCTTCCTGCTCCCACTCTGGCCTGTCTTCACAACGGCCCTGGGCCAGCCCTCCTGCATCTTCACCCTCCTCTTTCCTCCCCTGAACACTGCTGGAGCCCCAGCAGGTGTCTTTCCTGGCATCTGGTTACCATGTCCAGGCTCACAGACCTGGTGGCTTCACTCCTTCACCCCAGAGCCCTTCTGGCTGCTCAGGACCCGTGATCAGGTTGAACCCCCTCACCTGCCTTAGTGCCTGGCCCCAGCATCCCTGTGCAGCTCATCTTTGGCCATGCCAGCCACCCTCTGCCAGGAGCAGCCTTCCTTCTCTGTCACTTAAAGATGTCCACCCAGCCGCTGCTCCTGGCACCATCTCTTGAGGATGTATCTCTAGACGCCCACAAGTCCCCACCTGGACCCATGTCAGGACAGTGGCCAGGGTTGTCCCTCCACTTAATACTGGCCCTGAACCATGAGGTCATGCACCTGCCGCACAGTGCTTGCATACCTGCACTTCACATTGCTGGTGCCATGGCTGCCTGATTTCTGCTGACTGTGACATTTTTCCCTAGGGTGACGCCTGGAGACCCTTTCGCCCTGGCCCAGCTGCAGGCCCCGGGATGCTCTGGGCATGGCCTCTGGAGCCCCACAGAAGAGCAGCCAAATGGCCGGTGGAGCTGAGGAGACCCAAGGCTTCCTGGACACACTCCTGCAAGACTTCCCAGCCCCACTAAACCCGGAGGACCCTCTGCCGTGGAAGGCCCCGGGGACTGTGCTCAGCCAGGAGGAGGTGGAGGGCGAGCTAGCCGAGCTGGCCATGGGCTTTCTGGGCAGCAGGTAGGCCTGTGCACCCCCAAAGGGGATGGGGAGTGAGGGCATGGTGCCAGGGCCGACCAGGCCCCCACATGTCCAGCCCCACACAGGGATCTGCAGCCCCAGATCCCTGTGGCAGCACTGTGTGGATTTCCTGTGGCTGCTGTGGCAAAGCACCACACACTGGGCGCTTATGAAAGCAGCAGAAGCTTATTCCTTCACAGGACCAGAGGCCAGAGTCCAAGATCAAAGTGGCAGCTGGGCCATGCTCTCTCAAAGGCTGTAGGGGAGAGTCTGCTCCAGGCCTTTCTGTTAGTGCCTGGCCTTGACTTCCTGGAGGTCCTTGGCTTATAGATTTATCCCTCCTATCTGGCCTTCTTGCACGCGGCATCTCCCTGTGTGTCTGTGCCTTCACACCTCCCCTCCCTGCCTGCTGTGTTTCTCTGTGGCTCCTCCCCTTGTAAGGACACTGGACGTTTTGGACCAGGGGCCGCCTTCCTACAGTGTGACCTCATCTTTCTTTCTTTTTCTTTTCATGGAGAATGGGATGTCGCTATGTTGCCCAGGCGGGTCTCGAATTCCTGGTCTCCATGGATCCTCACATTTCTGCCTCCCTAAATGCTGGGATTACAGGCATGAGCCACTGTGCCCAGCTGCTGTTACCTCATATGAACATAACTAATTACATTTGCAGAGATATTAACTCCAAATAAGATCACATTCTGAGCCACAGGGGCTAGGACTTCCACATACCTTTTTGGGGAACACAATTTAATGCATAAGAGGTGATAAGCAGTAAGTCCTGTTTCTGATCCGTGTGATGGACAAGGAGGCAGAGGTTGGTAGATAAGAGACTGACGTGAGGCCTTATAGTCAAAGAGTGGCAGGGCCACATAGCACCCTGGCCACCACGATCTGAGAGGTAGCTGGCGCTGTCCCCATTCCACAGATGAGGAAGCTGAGGCACAGAGAAGTGGCACAACCAGCTAGCAGATCTTGGGTAAGATAGAGAGGAGTGTATCCACCAGCAGATGGTGTATCTATTTCCTAGGCTGACCTCAGAGGTCCCTTCCTTGCCATGCCCTCTCCTTCTTCATTTATTCATTCATTCTGCAAGTATTTGTCCCATGAGAGATGGTGAAGGACAAGGTCTCTTCTCTAACCCTCTCTGCTCAGACAGGGTCTTAGAGTCAGGCTCTCTGTCTGGCACAGGGGCTGCTCATAGAGGCAAGCGAGCTGGTGGGCCACATGCTGTTTCTGTGAACCTAGTCCCTCTCTGAGGGGATGTGCCCATGGTCCCCAGTCCAAGCATCACCCAAATCACCTGAAATATCCCCTGAAGCTGTGACAGGCCCTCAGCCATAGCTCCCTCTGACAGAGCCTCTGAACTTGGCAGCTGCCTCAGTATCCTCCAGGCATGCACTTCCTTTGCCCCTTGCAGCAAAGCAACACTGTTCCTGACACCCATCAAGGGCCTAATTTCCTTGATCTCAGGCCCCAGCAGAGTCAATGACTTGCCCTCTCCCTGTGCGGTATGGGCACAAAGGTTGCTGAGTGTCAGCCACATGCAAGGGCCGTGCCACCCAGCATCCCCCACAGCCACCTAGAGCTCAGGAGGAAACGCCTGGTGACCACATTCCATGGGGTTGTGGTATGTGCAAAGGCTGTTATTGGCTTGTTCTGGGGAAATATTTTAGAGATGTGGCACAAAGTGAATCAGCCCCGCGTGGTGGAGCAGAGTGGGCCCAGCATGACGGGAAGTGAGGGGAGGCCCCATATTCCGCCCTCTCTAGTGGAGCAGGTGGCACTTGGCAGGGAGCAGGGGAGTCCAGACCAGGGAGTTCTACAGCCACTGGGCCTTCGCGGAGGTGGCAGGGGGCCGTTGCTGCCCTGAGATGAAAACCCAGGCCTGGGACAGAAGAGTTGGTCCACCTTGGCCCAAGCGTCATGAGGTGAGCAGGCAGAGCCAAGTGGTGCCAGCTCCAATCTGGGAATCGGGTGGAGAAGCCATCCCGGGGAACAGCAGAGCCCAGGCATTTGCTGGACGTGCGTGCAGCACAGGTGCGGAAGACGGACGGGCCATAGCAACAGGGTGACATCAGCCTTCAGTTCCTGGATAGGGGGAGAAGGGCACAGAACAGATCCTTCCTTGGGGAAGGATCCAAGGTGGGAGGGCCTGGATGGCTGAGGAGTGAGTAGGCAGCACAGGTGACCTGCCCAGCAGGGCCCCAAGCTGAAGTTGGGGTCAGTGCCAGGGGTCCAGGGGAGGCAGTGGGTTTTGGGTTTAATGAGGGAGCAGCAGGACTTGTTGAGCAGCTGCTCTGTAAGCTGCCTAGTGATGGGTGCAAGCGGGAGGGGCACAGAGATCCCAAGCCTCCTCAGCCCCTAGAAGCCTACCCTGCATGGTGGAGTAAAGTGGAGTATTTGAAGGTCTTATATTTTCCTGCCGTCTTACTGGATTTATCTTTTAAGTCGTTTTTGTTCTTTTCTAGCATCTTTTTTCACACACAGGTGTGGATGTCCACAGGTGTAGTCAGCACTTGGGGTCTGAGCCTTACATGTTGTCTACACTGAGTCCGACTGTCCACACACACACACACACATGCTCATACATAGTCACAATTCCACCCCTGAGCTCTGCTTCCCGTCCCCCAGCCGGAGGATGGGCTCTTGGGCATGAAGGGCTTTGAGCATCTCGGTCCCTGGGCTCTTTCACAGATTGTAAAATGCATGCTTCTGAAGGCCATCCAGAAGTCAGAACACCCAGTCTGCAGAGGGCTATTTACGTCTTGTCTCCCCTCTTGTTTGCAGCCTCCTGTCACATATTTGGGTCCCTGAGCAGTGCATACTACACGCTAATGATTCAAGTGTAGTTTTCATCTCTGCCACTAGACTGTAAACCCCTTGTAACTGCCCCTACCCCCAGGTCGGCTATACAAGTGTTCCTCAGGCACCTGGGCCTTGCACACACTTTGGCTTGTCCCCGGAACATCTTCCTACCTTGTGTAGGAGCCTGCCCTGCAGAATCAGGGTGGATCCGCACCGTGCAGTAATGCAGGGCTGAGGACCTCTAGGGCGTATCCCAGTCAGAACCCTGGGATGAGGTGGGAACTGTGTCCAGGAAGGGGATGCTGGTGGCCTTGGCCAGGCATTATCTGGATCCCCACAGCCGGAAGCTGCTTCCCTGCCCCCAGCAGCAGCAGTGGGTGGGCAGGAAGCTGAGGCCTGACCTCGCTGGGACCAAGGGGAACAGGCGTCCCTCCTCCCACTGCGCAAGAGGAAAACCCAGCAGTTGGCAGGAAACCCCCAAATGGCAGAGGAACTCATTTCTCATGTCTTGGCTGGTTGTTTTTCAAAGAGAGTTCCAGAGGCTTCTGTGAGTCACCCTTTCATTTTAAAAACTCAGGAATCCATCCCAGTAGATTCCTGAGACCATCAGTAGCTCGGGCGCCCAGCCCCCATGGAACAAGATCTGTCTGTCAGCCCGTGCTGTGCTGAATCACCTCGCCACCCCCGGCATAACCCCCTGGCCCCCACTCTCAGGAACAGGCACACAGAGGTGAATGTGTGTCACCCAGCTCCCGGGGCCCCCACTAGGTAGGGTAGGCAGATTCCAGGAGTCAAAATGCATGATAGAGGTCATAGGGCCACTGAGGGATCCATCCCTTCTGCCCAGAAGACTCAGGGATGGCTCCGTTCAGACACTTCTCCCCACTGCCCCCCTCAGCCACAGCTGGCTTCAGTGTCCCTACCCCTAAACTTCTTCCCCTGATCTGCCCCATGTCTCTCTTCTGCACTGCCTATTTGCTAAAAGATGCTAACTCAAGGTTAACATTTCATCCCGTCGGTTTGCTTTCAGCCTGCTATGACCTCCCTTTACACCCATCTACACCTCCTCGACTCCTCAGCTCTGTTCTGTGACGTTGAAAGCAGTGACCCAGTCTCACATCTTAGAAACCGTTCCTTCGTGGCCCCCAAAAGGCCACCCTTGGGTCATCCCCGCATTGTTAGCCATGCTCTGACCCTGTGGGACCAGCCCCCATCCTCATTCATTCCACAGCTCCATCTCCTGCCCAGACCGTGTTCTTGCAGGCCCTCGAGCCTCTTGACCTCCATGGAACCCAAGAGTCTCCATGGAAACAGAGCCCACTGCCCATCCCCTGCCTGGCCCTGCTCCGTCCCCATTGGCGTAATTAACTCTACCACGAGCCTCCTAGTTGCTCAGAACAGAAACTTCGACACTGTCCTTGCCCCTTCCTCTATACTGCCCGGCTGTGTCCCCTCCTGTTCGCCACCACAGCCCTGCGCAGCCCAGGTCTTGGACTCTCTCCTCTGGACAGTCATCACTCTCCACCAGCCCACCCTCCACACCAGGGTCAGAGAGGCCTAAAAGCCCCATTTGATAATGCCATGTCCCTCTTTAGAACAGACCATAGTTGGCCAGGGGCAGTGGCTCATGCCATTATCCCAGGGCTTCGGGAGGCTGAGATGGGAGGATCACTTGAAGGCAGGAGTTCAAGACCAGCCTGGACAACACAGTGAAACCCCATGTGTACAAAAATTTTTACAGATTAGCTGGACATGGTGATGCATGCCTGCAGCCCTAACTCCTCTGGAGTCTGAGGTGAGAGGATCTCTTGAGCCCAGGGGTTTGAGGCTGCAGTGAACCATGACTGCACAGCTGTACTTCAGTCTGGGAGACACAGCAAGACCCTGTCTCTAAAAATAAATAAATAAAACACAAACCAATGGCAGTGCTTCCCTGTTACCATAAAGCTTGGCCTGCCCTGTTCCCACAACCCCTCACCCCAGTGGCCCCTATGGCCCCATCTGCCCAGGGACCTCGTGGACCATGCACAGCCTCTGCCAAGTATGCCCATGGGTCCCACACCCAAGATCAGTTGCCTGGAGCTGCTGTACAGATAACCACAGACCCAGCAGCTTAAACAACAGAAGCGTGCCTCATGCTGGTGGCTGTCGTCTGAGATCAGGATGTTGACACAACTGGCCCTTCTGGTGCTGTGTGAGCAACCCTTGGCACTCCCTGGCTTGTAGTCTCATCCCCTGGGTCTCTGCCTCATTTCCCATGGTGTTCTCCCTGTGTGTGTGTCTGTCCAAATTCCCCCTATTTATGGAGATATCAGTCATTTGGGTAGGGGCCCAGCCTGCTCCAGCATGACCTCATCTTAACTAATTCCATCTGTAATGACCCTGTTTCCAAATTAGCTCCATTCTGAGATACTGGGGGTTAGGGCCTCAGCGTATGAATTCTGTGGGGACACAGTTCAACCCAGAACGCTCCTCATCCCCCAGGGTCCCCAGTGGCGTGGGTGATTCCTCTGCCCTCCTGTGGCTGGGAGCCATCATCCGCATGAATGTCAGGCAGTTTGCTTATCCATCAACAGCCCCCTCCCCACCAACTCTAGCCCCAAGTTTGGTCCAGTGCCTCAGCAGATGGTTGCGCATCTGCCTCTGCCGTTGTATGACCTTCCTGTCCCAGCTCCCTGAGGACAGGGGCCACCCTGCTCGCTGTTACTCCTCAGCATATGGGCTGATGGTTGGGGAAGGGGTGCTAGGTGTGGTCACCTACTGGGAGCTGCCCCTCACTTTCCCCTCCTCACCCCTAGGAAGGCCCCACCACCACTTGCTGCAGCTCTGGCCCACGCAGCAGTTTCCCAGCTACTACAGACAGACCTTTCCGAATTCAGGAAGTTGCCCGGGGAAGAGGAAGAAGAGGAGGAGGAGGATGACGAGGAGGAGGAGAAGGCCCCTGTGACCTGTGAGTTCTTTCTTCTGAGGTAGCCCCAGGGCTGCTTAGCAGGCAACAAAGGGTGAGGAGGACATTGTGGGAAGCCCCATTGATTGGGGTCCCTAAAGGTGCTGGGGCCCTCGCTCACAAGGGCAGCAGAATCAAGGAGCAGAGGCGGCTTGGGGCACCAGCGAGGTGGAGGGTGGTAGTCACACCCCTCTTCAGGTCATGCAATTCCCAGTCAGCTCATGAGGCAGGGTGGGTGGCACAGACACCCTCCTGTGTCCCGGTCTCTCTTAAGTTCCAGAGCAGCCCAGGAAATGAATGATGCTTGTCTCGTTTCACAGAGGTTCTCACAGGTAATCTCACAGTCATGCAGCCAGGTTCAGGTGTACTCTGTGTTGTACCTCAGTTACATGTGCCCAGGCAGGTGAAGTCAGGGTCAGCCAGGTGGCACGCCGGCGGGTCTCAGGGGCAGCAGTGGTACCCTCAACACTCAGGCCCCCTGCCTCAGCGGCCGAAGTCAGGATTTTATTGGGTGGAAACGCTCTATGGTGTCTGTGAGCCCCATGGTTAGGTGCTGGTGGACGCTTGTCTGTCAGCCTGCTCCTGGGACGGCCATCAGCACGATGTGACCCAGAAATAGAGAGGACGCAGAGCCATTTGACAGAAGATCTAATTTTAAAAAGCAGATTTTATGTTACTTTCTTTCACTTTCCTAGTAATTGCATTTTATTATATTTCACCAAAGTGTTGGTTGATGTTGGAACAGAAATACGGGGAGTGAGAGTTGCAGGCTGCAGCAGGGGTGCCACAAGGGGGTAGCAACGCCCCACCCAGCTGAAAACTTGTCCCTCCACAGGCCAGCAGGCAGCAGAGTCACAGTGGATTTCCTTTCCTTGCCATTTCCTGTCTGCCATTTCCTTTCCCTTCTTCCCTTGCCATTTCCTTTCCTTTTCCTGTTGTTCTAAATTCAGCATTACTAGTGCATGCGTGCATCGAAGGAAAAGCAAGGAACAAGGTGGGGGAAGAGATAGAAGGCGAATACCCAAAGCCGCCAGCATCAGTCGGCGCCGGTGCTCTCCTCCTCGCTTTGGTCCCCTGCCCTCTGCCCTGGCTCCCTGCCCGCGTTGCCTGGGAGCGCAGCCTCGCCTTTGCCTGGGAGACAGCTGTCCACAGTGACAGGAGACCATTGTTCTCGGCAGAGCCAGTAGGCTTCCGGCCAGTGGCAGCTGCTGCTCCTCAGCTTTGCAGCCCCACCAAGGGGGCGCCGTCACTGCTGCCTGGCCCCACCCAGCCCTGCAGAAGGGTCTCTGTGGGTCCACGGGGGAGACAGCGCCACCTGCCAGTGTGAAGGAGTGCTGCTGCGCTAGCAGCAGCCCTGTCCCACGCCCAGGGATCCTACAGGCCTGGGAGCGTCCCTGTCTGTCAGAGCGCCTTGCGCACAGACCTGCCTAGCGGCCTTGATCATGCCCTCCTTGTCACGGGAGTAGAATGTAGTAAAGTCTTTGGACTTTGAGCCACCCTTACAAAATTGCATCGGGGCGGGGATTGTATTGTAAGAATCGCCACCGAAGGGAAGCAAGTGGCTAACTCTGTGGCTGCCAGCCAGCCCTCCTGTTTGCAGCCCCCTGTCACATATTTGGGTCCCTGAGCAGTGTATACCATACACTAATAATTTGAGTGTAGTTTTCATCTCTGCAACTAGACTGTAAACCCCTTGTAACAGCCCCTGCCCCAAGGTGGGCAAGACAAATATTTCTCAGGCACCTGGCCCTTGTACACACCTTGGCTTGTCCCTAGAGCATCTTCTTGTCTTGTGTAGGAGGCTGCCCTGCAGAGACCGGAATCAGGGTAGATCTGCACAGTGCAGTGACTCAGGGCTGAGGGCCTTTAGGGCATGTCCCAGGTAGGACCCTGGGATGGCTATAATCAGAGCAGAATCCAGAAGTGATTCCTGAGGTCGTGGGGCTGCAGCCCTTGGCATGGGGAGTCTGTGGGCCGGGCAGCACTGCCTCAGCCATGGCCTTTGCCTGAGCAGAGTCTAGGCTAATGGAAGCCGATGGAAATAGCAGCAGCACCAGGGGCAAGACCATGAGCCGCAGCAGCAGCAGCTGAGTCTCCCCCCAAGCTCAGGCCTGGTAAGCACCAGGAGCCCACAGTTTCCAAAGGGAGTGAGGAGGAGCTCATGGCATTTAGGGGCAGTTTTCTGGGCACAGCTGCTCTCAGGGAGAGGAAGAGGAGGCAGTGCTGCGAGTACTGGCTGGACAAGGGGGGATTTCCTGGTTTGCAGGGGATCCACTGGCCAAACTTATATGGAGCCACCTTCCCTCAGCTGGGCCTGTCCAAATGAGTTATCAGGCCCCTCCTGCACCCACAGCCTTGCCAGTCCCCAGTTCTTGCCAAATGCTTGAATGGGCCCCTGTCTTGGCCGTGGCAGCAGCAGCTGGCTCTGGATGCCCCCACCCCTGCCTTGATGTGTGGATTCCCACGGACCTTTCTGTGACCTCCTGTGTGCACAGCCTTTGTGTTCGTGTTTCTTCTTCAGTGGCCCCCTCTGGCCTCAGCCCTTCTCCTTTTCTTCCATAGCCTCCTCCTTTGGGCAGGAGTTCTTTCCTTCTCTCAGTTCCCCATGTCCTTTGGGTATGGCCTGTGACACTCAGTTTCTGCCCTGTTTTCAGTTGCTTGGCCTTGAACTCCTGCCCTCAGGTGACTGGCCCTGACTCACTGTGCTTGGCACATGCACCTGAGCTGGCAGGAGTTCCAGGAGGGTTTGTGCATTGAAGTGATGTGAGTCTCTGAAGGCAGAGCCTCCATGGTCTCCTTTGGGCCTGTTACTGGTTGATCTTTTCTTGAGAAGCCACGCTTAGGTAGGATTTGGTTTTTCCTTTTAAAATGAGTATTGTAGCTTGTATTATTTTTTGCTACGTAACAAATTGCCACAAATGTAGTGGCTTAAAACAGCAGACGTTTATTCTTCCAGTTTCTGTGGGTCTGAAATGTGGGAGCAGCTTAGCTGGTTGTCAACGGGTTGTGATCACATGGATGCCAGCTGGACTGGAGGGTCTGCTTCCAAGGTGATTCTGACACACGGCCATTGGCAGGAGGCCTCGCTGCTTGTGCATCCTCACAGCTCAGATCGAGCGATAACAGGGAAGGAGGAAGAGGGCTCTACATATAGGCAGAAGGCACAGATCCTCTGAGTTTATAGCATCTGAAGTACGCACGGTCACTGCCACTCTTCATCAGAAGCAGTCAAGTCCCACACTCAGCAGCAGGAAGTGAGCTCCACCTCGCAAAAGGGGAAGTCAGAGAATTTGTGGACATCCTTTAAAGCCATGACCACACAAGACTAACACTTGTAATGGAAAATTGGGAAAGTATTAAGAAAGTGTACTTCTGGAAAAGCTGCCCATGGAACTGCCACCTGCAGCCCCACTCTGACACCTTGGTTGTGTGCTGTTCCTGCCTTTATTTTCTGGCTTTGGTGGTTTTTCATGGACTTGTGGTTAAACTGCATATGTAATTTTCCTCCTTTTTTCACTTAATGTCATGACATAAGCGATTTACGTGCTCATAAACTCTATAAAAATCAATTTTTAGTTTTCTATTTTAAGAGACCACGTCTCCGTCTGTCACTCAGACTGGAGTGCAGTAGTATAATCGGAGCTCACTGTAACCTTGACCTCCTGCCCCAGCCTCCTGAATAGCTGGGGCTGCATATCATACCACCACACCGAGCTAATCTTTCTCTTTTTTTGTTGTTTTTGTTTTTGTTTTGTTTTTGAGACAGAGTCTCGCTCTGTTGCCGAGGCTGGAGTGCAGTGGCTGGATGTCGGCTCACTGCAACCTCCACCTCCCGGGTTCAAGCAATTCTCCTGCCTCTGCCTCCCCAGTAGCTGCCACCATGTGGCGCATGCCACCACGCCCAGCTAATTTTTGTAGTTTTTAGTAGAGAGGGGGGTTTTACCATGTTGGCCAGGATGGTTTCGATCTCTTGACCTCATGATCCGCCCACCTCGGCCTCCAAAGGGCCTGGGATAGTTTTTCTTTCCTTTTTCTTTTTTTTTTTTTCTTTTGAGATGGAATTTAGCTCTTGTCGCCCAGGCTGGAGTGCAGTGGCATAATCTCGGCTCACCACAACCTCCTCTGCCTCCCGGGTTCAAGCAATTCTCCTGCCTCAGCTTCCCAAGTAGCTGGATTACAGGCACGTACCACCACACCTGGCTAATTTTGTATTTTTAGTAGAGACAGGGTTTCTCCATGTTGGTCAGGCCGGTCTCCAACTCCTGATCTCAGGTGATGCCCGCCTCAGCCTCCCAAAGTGCTGGGATTACAGGTGTGAGTCACCACACCCAGCCTTAGTTTTTCTTAGTTTTTCAAGCTCTTATGTGAACAGCCTTCATTGTTCTGGGATGAGTCTGCAGCAGTGCCATGGTGGGGTCATATGGGAGTAGCATGTTTTGTTGTGAAAATCATATTTAATAGCAGCTTAATTCTTCATGAAGAGACTAGATCATAAGTTAAATATCATTCCTTTGTCACTGGATATATAGCATTTCTAATTAATGGGCAATTACAAGTGATTCTGTACTTTGTCTTTAAATTGTTTTTGTGTTTCTGACAATTTCTTTAGAGTGGGTTCCCATGAGTAGTCGCTCTATGGAGGGGTGGAAGACTTCAAGGGCTAAGTTGCCAAACTAGACATTTCTAACTCCGGTCACAGGCTGCCATGTGCGCTTTATTGAGTTGATGTGCTCAGAATGCCCTGGGAGGCGATGGGGGCTGTGCAGGCCCTTGTGGGAGCTGTCAGGGAGCCAGCAAGGCTTCAGCTGGCTTGGTCAGCACTTCCCTGACAATCCCTCTATTGTGCCCATTAGTGCTAGATGCCCAAGGCCTGACACGGAGTTTCTTTAACCGGCTTTGGGAAGTCGCCAGCCAATGGCAGAATCAGGTGCCACTGGCTGCCCGGGCCTCACAGCGGCAGTGGCTGGTCTCCATTCACGCCATCCGGAACACTCGCCGCAAGATGGAAGACCGGCATGTGTCCCTCCCTTCCTTCAACCAGCTCTTCGGCTTGTCCGTGAGTGCTCCTGTGCCAGCCCTAGGGACAGCTTCGGAGGGCTGGGGCGAGGGTGGGGGTCCCCTGGGTACCAAGAAGAGCTGCCCACCAAGGCTGAGGCAAGAGAGACACCCATCAACTGCTGTCTCCAGGTGGAAGTATGGGCAGCCCTGAATCCTCTTCCCTGGGGAGTCTGGGAGGCCCAGTTCATCATCCCAGCATCTTTGCGCCAGGGCAGTCGCCAGCTCTTGAACTTGCCCAGCAAGAGACTAAGAAGGGCAACAATGTGAATCTATTATAAGGAAGGCCTGGGCACCACGTTCCCCTGACTCCAGCACCAGGAGCCACCTTGGGCAGCCCCTCATTTTATGCTTGTAGCAACTCAGAACAGATGGTCTAACCAAGGCTCCTGCGAGCTGTCATTTTGCAAACCTCCCAGCTCATACACACATAAGCCGGGCTGCCTTGTGGATAGCGAAGGCCATGCTGATTCTCTCAGACTCTGCCCCATCAGTGCCTGCCACCATACCCCCATGGGAGCAGCCTGGGTCCCGGGAAAGGTCAGCGGGTCTGTGACTCCCACTGCATCCCCACCAGGACCCCGTGGACCGCGCCTACTTTGCTGTGTTTGACGGTCACGGAGGTGTGGATGCTGCGAGGTATGCTGCTGTCCACGTGCACACCAACGCTGCCCGCCATCCAGAGTTGCCCACAAACCCTGCGGGAGCCCTCAAACAAGCCTTCCAGCACACCGACCAGATGTTTCTCAGGAAAGCCAAGCGAGAGGTAAGGACTGGCAGCTGGGCCTCAGGTACAGTTTAGAGGCCAGTGAGAGTCCCTGCCTCTGCAGTGGGAAAAACGCCAAAGGGTCTGGTGGTGCCGGAAGGTCCTCACTGAACATTGCCAGTGCTCCTTCCATTTCTTCTACAGTGTAGGGTAAAGGGGATTTGGTTCTCACTTGAATGGAAGCAACACAAATCCTGCCCCGACCCAGCATGCCAGGCCTCTCGGCTCCACAGACCTGCCTCCCACAGAGGGTCTGCAGGCCTTGAGGAAGGCAGCCTGTGGTCAAGCGTTCCTGGGATTTTGTTTTAATGAAATGTGGCAAGGTGACAGACACAGACCTGTACCTTAACAAAGAGTCTGCTGCTCAAAGTTCCTGAGAGGAAGGGCCACACCACACAGGGACATGCGTGGAAAGCACCGAGGTAGTTGGCACACAGAGGGGAAACAGGCAAGCTGGGCCCGGAGCCTTCTCTGCAGCCTCCCCAGGTCTTTGCTGTCTCGAGAATCGGCCCCTCCAGGACCAGCAAGGCCCCAAGATGTCAAAGCATCAAAAGGCAGAAAATAAAAAACCTGATTAATCTATTGCCCATTTCCCCTTCCTCCTCTAGGCAGGTTCTCAGCAGGCTGCTGGTGTCCTCTGGGAACATTCTTTCCTAGGGAGTTACAGCCACAGGCAGGGATGAGACATTTTTTTCTGAAAGAAGAAAGAACAGGGGCCTCAGGCCCCTCTTCTGTGAACTTACCCACTCTGAACCCCACTAGCATAATTTGACTAGGTCCTCCTTGCAGCCCTGTGAGGTGAATTCTAATATTGTACCTATTTTAGACATTGGGAGACTGAGGCTCAGGCTGCTTACAAGATATGCCCCAGTGAGAAGACACCAGGGGAAAGGCGCACTTTTATCACAAGCTTGAGCACAGACCTTCATGGAAATGAGCAGAGCAAAGCTTTGCATCTCAATAGAAAACCATGCGGTCTCTGCAGCTGCAAGGAGCCCAGTGAAAAGCAGGCAGGCCTCTACTCCTGGCCCCTCACCTCAACCCCAGGAAGTGACAAAGACCCCTGAGCTCAGGGCTGCTTCTCAGAGTAGAAAAGGGATTCTCTGAAGCAGGCATAACAGCTTTATTGAGGCTGGGCATAGTGGCTCACACCTGTAATCCCAGCACTTTGGGAGGCTGAGGCAGGTGGATCACTTGAGTTCAGGAGTTCAAGACCAGTGTGGCCAAAATGGGCACCTATAGTCCCAGCTACTCAGGAGGCTGAGGCAGGAGAAGGTCTTGAACCTGGGAGGCAGAGGTTGCAGTAAGCCAAGATCATCGTGCCACCGCACTCCAGCCTGGGCAATAGAGTGAGACTCCATCTCAAAAACAAAACAAAACAAAAATTAGCCAGGTATGGTGGTGGGCACCTATAATCCCAGCTACTTGGGAGGCTGAGGCATGAGAATCACTTGAGCCCAGAAGGCAGAGGTTTCAGTGAGCTAAGACTGTGTCACTGCACTCCAGCCTGGGTGACAGAACAAGACTTCATCTCTAAATAAATAAATAGCCGGGTACAGTAGCTCATAACTGTGATCCTAGCACTTTGGGAGACCAAAGCAGATGGATTGCCTGAGCTCAGGAGTTCGAGACCACCCTGGGCAACATGGCAAAACCCCATCTCTACTAAAAATACAAAAAATTAGCCCATGGGGTGGTGTACGCCTGTAATGTCAGCTACTCGGGAGGTTGAGGCAGGAGAATCGCTTGAACCCAGGAGGCGGAGGTTGCAGTGAGCCAGGATCTCGCCACTGCACTCCAGCCTGGGCGACAGAGCATGACTGTCTAAAAAAATAAATAAGTAAATAAATATCATCATTGAGATACAATTGACACGTAGTAAGTGTCACATATTTAACGTCCACAATTTGGCAAATTTTGGCTTATACGAATATACACCTGTGGATCCCTCACCACAGTAACAGGCATATTCAGGACCACTGGAAGCTTCATCGTCTGCTCTTCCCTGCCCACTCCCCAGACAACCACTCATCTCCTTTCTGACACTGCAGACGGTTTGCAGTTCCCAAAGGTGGATATGAATGGGAAGCTTCAGGATACACTCTCCTGTCCCTCAGTGTGAAGTTCAGTATGAGATTCACCCAAGCCATTGCATGGCTCAGTGGTTCAGTCCCATTTCTGGCTAAGGTTGTTCAGCCTGCACTGCATGTGCCTGCAGTGTGGACCCTGTCCCCGCCTCTTCTCAACCCTCATGGGCCCTCTTTCCCTACAGCGGCTGCAGAGCGGCACCACGGGTGTGTGTGCACTCATTGCAGGACCGACCCTGCATGTTGCCTGGCTCGGGGACTCCCAGGTCATTTTGGTGCAGCAGGGACAGGTGGTGAAGCTGATGGAGCCACACAGACCAGAACGGCAGGTAAGGGGATCCCTGCGCCCAGGCCCAGGATGTTCCCGCCCCCGTCATGCTGGGCCCACAGGGGAGCTCCAGCCTGGGAACCTTGGGAAGTACTAATCCTGGCACCTTTCAAGAGGGGAGGGCTCCCCACCTGACTTGAATGGCCAGGGAGTCCCATGTGAGCACTCTTTGAGAGTTCTGTGGGTCACAGCTATACGCAGCCCAGAGCTCCAGGGGAGAGCAGAGCCCTCTACACTAACAGGCAGCCCAGTGCAGTCAACGCAGCCCAGTGCAGACCAGAACCCGTCATACACATGGGTAGGGGGGCCACAGGCTGTGTGTGGGTAAGGAGGGCTTCAGGGAGGTGACACTGCCCTGGGGCTGGAGGGAACCTGGCTTAGGGCTATACTGAGTAGAGGCTGCCTGGGACCCTGGCACTCAGGTCACTCACCTGGACATGAGGATGACAGTCCCACTCAGACCCCATGTCACAAAACTGTCTCATCCGTGTGTCTCCTGAGGTCAGATCATGAGCATTTAGATATCACGGAATGACTGTTTATGTCTCAAACCCCATTTTTCACACATGCTGCTCTCCACCAGCTATGTTAGATTATCCAGGCACCTGGCAGGTAATTGTATATCAGCACATAGGAGCACCCGCCGTTTCTTGGGGCTGCGGACATTGCATTCATCATGCACTCCCTCATGGGTGGGCATGGAGGTCTTTTCAGTCTTTCGGTGCTAAATACAATGCATCTGTACCTACTTTGTGCAGCATTAATTGTTCAGAGTCAAGTGTATCTGTATCTGTAGGACACGTCCCCAGAAGTGGGATAGCTGGGTTGGAACTGATGCACTTACAGTCTGGGTAGATTTGCCAAGCTGCCCACCTCAGGCCATGCCAGCCAGGACTGGCATTACTTGCCTAAGAAGGTCCATTTCTCCACAGTTCTACCAGCCTGCAGGATTCTTCCTGTCAGGTAAGAGGGCTGTCTCAGGGCAATTGTTAAGTTTGCTTTTCTGTTACAGAGTGAGTTTAAGCATCTTTTCAAAAGTTGAAGATCATTTACACAGCCTTTCCTGCAGACACCGTTTCTTTCCTTTGCCCATTTTTCTCACCAATGTATAGGTTCCTTATCTGTGATGATGTACAGATATTTTCCCACATGTCTTTTCTGTTTTTTGTTTATGGACTTTTGCCACATGGAAGCTTTGTGTTTTTCTGTAGTTGAGTCAAGCAGTCTTTCCTTTTGTGGCTTCTGGGTTTGGAAAGCACAGCAGAGACCACAAGTCCTTGATGATTGTAACAGTCAGGGGTGGCTGTGTTCCTTGGCCTTTCACTGTGGCTTACTGTCTGGGCTGGGCCTCCAGCACGTCCTCTCCCCATTGTACAGAGAAGAAAAGTGAAGCTCACTCACTTGCCCAGAGCACACCGCCAAAGTCACAGATAGTCTCTGCCACTCCCCTGCCTCCACCACCATGGGGCATTTGGCACCTTCGTCCTCCCCAGGATATGCAGTCGGTAAAATATGGCCAAGTCAGGATTCATGCTGGGCCCACTCCCACCTGCTGCCTGCACCCCTTTTGGCTCAGCATTCAGTACCCCCTTGAAGCCCAGCGGGGACTTTTTTCAAACACTGCCTGAGCCCTGCAAGGTGGCACTGTGGCAAAGAGCATGGACAAATGGCCTTGCCTGGTCCTGGCTCCACCACTTCCAAGTCTGTCACACAGGAGTCCCTGAAGTTTGGGCTAAGGATTGAGTGGCCCAGTGCATGTGGAGTGCAGACATCAGAGCCCGCACAGGATAAGCACACACAGGTGTCTGTGTTCTTGGCTGCAGCCTGCATGGGCCAAGGAGTTCAGATCCAGTGCCCCCACCTCCCCTTCTCTGCTGCCACACTCTCCAGGCTTGGCTCCTGCTGTGATCCTGATCGCAGCCCACCACCCTAGAGAATTAATCACAGATCCAGGCCAAGGTTCTCCCACAAAAAGAAGCATCATGTCAGTTACAAGAGCAGGAAACTTGCCTCAATCTGGCAGGCTTCAACAGGGGTCCAGCTGCAGCACAGAGCAGCTTCGAGGAGTACGTGTGGAGTGTGTGGTGCTCTGCCTTGTTCTGCAGCTGTCTGAGCAGTCTCCTGCCTCTGCGCTCAGTTCAGCCTGTAAACACTGAGTGCCCACTCTGCACAGGATACTTTGTCGAGGCAGTGAAATAAAACAGGACCCACTTCCTGCCTCCAAGTCTAACGGGGAAGCAGGAGGAGGGCAAGGAGCTAGGCAGAATGTAGCAGAGAGATGAATGGAATGGAGCTGCATCTCAGGCAGGTGCGACTCCTGCAGGCTAGGGGAGAGACCAGGAGGAAAGGACAGTTTATGCCAGAATCAGGGCCAGGTATGGAGACATGCCCCAATCAATCCTCCCACCTCTTAAGGCTCAGAAAGCAGGAGGATGGCTTGAGCCCTAGAGGTCGAGACTACAGTGAGCTGTGTTCATGACACTGCATCCCAGCCATGGGAACAGAACAAGACCCTGTCTCCAAAAAAAAAAGAAAGCCAAAATCAGTGGGTAGGAGATTCAAGGGGAAGGGGAGAAGACCACCCACCTGCTGCTCCTACAGCTGGAGGAGCTGGGCTGCCCAGGCTGGGAGGAACTCTGTAAGAACTCGCTAGAAGCTTCCAAAGTGATCAGGCCACTGGAGGACGACTTGAGGGATGAGTCACAAAAGTGAGTCCAGGAGGGCAATGAGAGTGGTCACAGGTCACGCTGGCACGCCTGGTGGGCAGCCTGGGAGAAAAAGGGAGGAGTCCTGGCTCTGCGAGCGGAGATGTTGCAGAGAGCCTTGGGCATCCAGGAGGATGGTGGTGCTGTAGATGAGCTGCTGTGGTCCGGCTGGGTGGAGCACTGTGCTCCTAGGAGGCAGGAAATGGCTATTCACAGGAACCCATGGGCCACCAGCTCCGGCTTTGACCTGTGAAGCTGTTTCAGGCAGGTGGGAAGAATCAGGTATGAGGAGCAGAGGGAAGAGCTGGCTGTTGAGGGAGTGGGTGCTGGGGAGTCAGGAGGCGAGCTTCGAGCTTCAACGGGGGTCTAGCTGCAGCCCAGAGTAGCTTTGAGGAGCACGCAGGGGCACCTTAGCCTGGGGACGTGTTGGTCCAGACAAGGCTGAGCCTGGCCAGCACGTGACAGAGGTGGGAGCCACTGGAGGGTAGGAGGACCCAGGTGTAGGGCCAGGATTAGAGGGGCGAGCCCAGGGAATCTGTGCAGCCAGGGTTAGTGCAGCCCATCCAGCACGGGAGTTGGGGCATGGTGGTAGAGGGTTTGCAGGCTGCAGGGGAGCAGCATAGTCCCAGTGCCCTCCTGCCCTTTGGCTCCACCCTGTCCTCACAGCCATCCCTGGTGGTGGGGAGGGGCTTCAGGAAGAAAGGTTCTAAGCTCAAAAAGCCTACATGGTCCCCTGTGGGGGAGAGCCCACCTCCAGAGGGCATAGGGAGCAGCTTGCAGTTCCTCCTCCATCGCCCTCCCGCGTGCCTGCCTCTAGGACATTGAGGGGCTGGAGTGGGCTGGACTGTGTGGGAGGCAAAAACAGAGAAAGGCTCCCAATTCTCCCTGGAGCCTCCCACGCTCACAGCCCCTCCCCAGGGAACGCCTCTGAGGCACAGGGGAGAAGGCGCTGCTTCCTCTGCAACTCCTCGCCTTCTGCAGGCATCTTCACGCATGTGTGTGGGCACATGTATGTGTGAATATGCATCCGTACTGTGTGTTCATCCACTTGCCTCTCCCCACGCCTTTTCTCCTGCCCTCCTCTTTGCTCTCTCCTCCGATATTCCCTCCTTTCTGGTCCTCCTTGCCTTTCTCTTGCTCTGCTCAGACCCTGGGGTGGTGGATCTCAGACCCAGAGAGAGCCTTCGAGGTCCCTGTTCCTGTCTCCTCCTTGGCTTGATTCCTCAGTTCAGCTGGGACAGGAGCATCCAGCCCACCAGACACCTGTCCATTCGCCACACAGGCTCATGGCTGCGGCATCCAGTAAGACCAGGACTCCTGCACACCTGCGTCATTCCCACTGTGATGCCCTCTGCAAGGGAGCCACACAAGGAGGCCTGGTCCTTGGTGGGGTGTCTGGAGAGGGCTGTGTCCCCCAGGCCTCCTGCAGTGCATGTGCATCTCTGGGGAGGGGATTGGCTGATACCCCAGTCTGTCTAGGTGACACCATCACCTGGGGCATCAGAGTTCTCATGCCCAGCTGGTACCATGCTGGGGACCAGAGAGCTGGTGCTATGTGGGGTCAGGAGGTTTACCTGATAGGGAAACGAGTAAAGGACTCCCTCTTTCCCCAGTAGACTTGGGAGGTGCCTCAATCCCAGGGTGCCTCTGTCACTCCATCAGGGATGCTGCTGTGCAGCCTTCAGGCAGCAGACTGTCACTGGGGCGGCCTCTCCTTCCCGCAGAGGCTGATAGGAACAGAGATTTTTGGTTTGTTTTTTTTAAGAGACGGGGTCTTGCTATGTTGCCCAGCCTGGAGTGCAGTGGCTATTCACAGGCACAATCCCACTACTGATCAGCATGGGAGTTTTGACCTGCTCCATTTCCAACCTGGGCTGGTTCACCCCTCCTTAGGCAACCTGGTGGTCCCCTGCTCCCCGGAGGCCACCATATTGATGCTGAACTTAGTGCAGACACTTCATTGGCATAGCGCGCTGCAGCCCAGAACTCCTGGGTTCAGGCGATCCTCCCACCTCAGCCTCCTGAGTAGCTGGGACTACAGGCATGGGCCACCGTGCGCGGCGGAACAAAGAGGTTTCTAGAGGACTTGTGGCTGGCCCAAGCCTCTGTCCTGTCCTTAGAGGAACCCTAGGCCTGGGGTGCTGTGGTCCTCTGGTGAGTGGAGACTGTGCCTGGGCTGAGCTTGGGTTGAGGAGGACAAGAACTAGGCCAGGCACAGCGACTCACATGTGTAATCCCAGCACTTCGAGAGGCCAAGGCGGGTGGATCATGAGGTCAGGAGTTCAAGGCCAGTGTGACCAACATGGTAAAACCCTGTCTGTACTGAAAATACAAAAACATTTGCTGGGTGCAGTGGCTTACACCTGTAGTCCCAGCTACTTGGGAGGCTGAGGCAAGAGAATTGCTTGAACCCAGGAGGTGGAGGTTGCAGTGAGCTGAGATTGTGCCACTGCACTCCAGCCTGGGCAACACAGTGAGACTGTCTCAAAAAAAAAAAAAAAAAAAAGGAAAATGACTGGGCAGGCACAGGCTACAGTCGCCTGGCTCAGGCTTCCTTCACCCTGCTATGTCACATGCCACCACTCATGTCACATGTTCCGTCTTGGCCCAGCAACTTTCAGGGAAGGGACAGTGTCCCCGAGCTAGAGACAGGGAAGCAGAGTGCCTTGCTAACCCCAGAACGTTGCCCAGGGGCACAGGCAGTGCTGGTGACCTCAGATGATTTGTTCACTTTACCATTCCTGCAACTAAAGGAAATGTGAGTTGTTTGTCATTTCTCACTGTTTTTAATGATCCTAGTGTGGGTGCATCTCTGAGCCTCCTGGCTTTGTTCAAATGCTGCAGCTATGAATGCTGTCTTAGAAGCAGCTCAGCCTCCGTTCAGGTGGCAGCAGGGGGCCCCACGCCCCACCCCCTGGCCCAGGCCCCCGACTCTGGCTGTGTCCTTGCAGGATGAGAAAGCGCGAATTGAAGCACTGGGTGGCTTTGTGTCTCACATGGACTGCTGGAGAGTCAACGGGACCCTGGCCGTCTCCAGAGCCATCGGTGAGAGCCAGGGAGGCCAACCCAAGTGGGGGAAGGTCGCTCAGAAGCCCAGGCCTCTGGAGTGTGGCCCGAGGCTCACTGGGGTTCAGGGCGGCAGTGGAATAGGCCAAGGGGGATTTGTCATGCACTGCGGTGATATCTTTGTATTGTGAAGGGAATAGGGCAGATTCAGAGACTGCAGCACAAGTGATTGTGTATAAGTTATACTGTATGTTATTACCTCATCTAAAACAGCTCTCCCCAAATCTAGTGGAAACCTGTGGCTCTCTACCCTATGTGCTGGACATAGCACTTTCAGTATTCTGAAAATGAGGTTTATCCTCCTCCCCCATTCATGCTGATGATCGTTTTTTCTCTTTTGGGAAAAAAAAAAAGTAGTGGGTTCTCCAGGCATGGTGGATCACACCTGTAATCCCAGCACTTTGGGAGGCCAAGATGGGTGGGTCACCTGAGGTCAGGAGTTCAAGACCAGCCTGGCCAACATTAAACCCCATCTCTACTAAAAAATATATTAAAAAATTAGCCTGGCGTGGTGGCGGATTCCTATAATCCCAGCCACTCAGGAGGCTAAGGCAGGAGAATCTCTTGAACCCGGGATGCAGAGGTTGTAGTGCACTGAGATTGCACCGCCGAACTCCAGCCTGGGCAACAAGAGTGAAAATTGGTCTCAAAAAAATAAAATATAGGGGTAAGAAATAACAAACAATTTAAAAAGTAAGGACAGGCGCTGTGGCTCACGCCTCTAATCCCAGCACTTTGGGAAGCTGAGGTGCGCAGATCACAAGGTCAAGAGATCGAGACCATCCTAGCTAACATGGTGAAACCCCGTCTCTACTAAAAATTAAAAACTTAGCTGGGCATAGTGGTGCATGCCTATAGTCCCAGCTACTCAGGAGGCTGAGGCAGGAGAATCAATTCAACCTGGGAGGCAGAGGTTGCAGTGATCCAAGATTGCACCACTGCACTCCAGCCTGGCGATAGAGCAAGACTCCGTCTCAAAAAAAAAAAAAAAAAAAAAGTAGGGTGTACAGCTGGGCATGGTGGCTCATGTCTAATCCCAGAACTTTGGGAGGCCAAGCTGGGCGGATCACCTGAGGTCAGGAGTTTGAGACCATCCTGGTCAATATGGCGAAGCCCCATTCCTACTAAAAATACAAAATTAGCTGGGTGTGGTGTCACACACCTGTAATCCCAGTTACTTGGGTGGCTGAGGGAAGAGAATGGCTTGAACCCGGAAGGCAGAGGTTACAGTGAGCTGAAATCATGGTACTACACTCCAGCCTGAGCAACAGAGCCAGACTCTGTCTTAAATTTAAAAAAAAAAAAGTAGTCCAGCCTGCATCTCATTGTCTCAGCATGCTGTCCCTGCCGGGTCTCAGGCTGGGGGTCCTATGACCTCACCTGCTCCTTCCTGACTTAAAAACCTCTCCCTGCCCAGCTGACTGCCAGGGATTTGGCATCTATCCCTCTGACCCCTCTGAAACGTTCTGTCCTTCCTGGCAGATGTAGCACCTTCTTGACAACTCCTCCGCAGGCTGTGTCTTCCCTTGTGTCTCTGGACACTCCAGGAAGCAAGGCCAGGATGGGGCAGCTAGGACAGACAAAGGGGGAGCTCATAGGTCAAGGCAAGGGGGTTCCATTCTCAGGCAAGCAGGAAGCACTAGGCAGTTCGCATAAGGGATCAACAGACCCTGTAAGAGCAGGCTGGTCTCTGTCTCTGCAAGACGTGAGGTCAGGGCCTGGGTAAGTGGGAAGGAGGCCGCAGACGCTGGAGTCCTCTGACCCAGGTTCTTCTCTGCCTGTCTAGGGGATATCTTCCAGAAGCCCTACGTGTCTGGGGAAGCCGATGCAGCTTCCCGGGTGCTGACAGGCTCTGAGGACTACCTGCTGCTTGCCTGCGATGGATTCTTCGACGTCGTCTCCCACCAGGAAGTTGTTGGCCTCGTCCAGAGCCACCTGGCCAGGCAGCAGGGCAGTGGGCTCCATGTCTCTGAGAAGCTGGTGGCTGCAGCCCGGGAGCGGGGCTCCCACGACAACATCACGGTCATGGTGGTCTTCCTCAGGGACCCCCAAGAGCTGCTGGAGGGTGGGAACCAGGGAGCAGGGGACTCCCAGGCAGATGGGAGGAGCCAGGACTTGCCCTCCAGCCTCCCAGAACCTGAGACCCAGGCTCAACCAAGAAGCTAGGTGGTCTAGACCCCCGCCCTCCCCTTCCTCCTGCCCTTGTCCTTCTCCCACTCAGAGGCCTCAGGACCCAACAGGCAGCAGTGGACAGGGCGCCTGCCCCACAGTGCTTTCCCCAGCACCCGAGAGCCACGCAGGGTGCCCCCTGCAGCCCGTCCTGGTGGCTGTGGAACTGCACTGGGTGGCAGGCAGATGATAGAAGGCAGCCTAGGAGACCTCACCAAAGAGAAGATGGACCGGCTCTTGTTCCCAGCTCCCATGGGGCCAAGGTGGGACCAGAGGTCATAGGTGCCCAGTGGCAGCCAAACCAAAGACACAGTGTGCGTGGAGCAGCACAGCACAGTTATGCATGTGGGACCCTGGGGCGGACCCAGGAGCCAAACTCTTGAAGCGCCCCCTGGGTCAGGCCCAGCAGCGGGGTGGCCAGCCCGTGTTTCCCATGGCTCCTCTCTACTGCCGGGGCTGGATGGGTTGGTATCTACAGCTATGCCCAACAGGTCCTGGTTGGTCATGCTGGTGTTCCAAAGAGGAGAGCACAGCAGGGCCAGGGATTTGTTCTGTAGCAGCCACCCCTGACCCCACTCCAGGGCAGCCATGATGTGCTTGGACCCACCAGGGCCTTCTGGGCTGCTCTGTTCCCTGAGCTCAGAACCGGCGACGCACATGTGTCTTTTGTTGGTGTGTTTGTTTTTTCCAGGGAAGTCTAATTCAGAAGCAGTATTCCAGGTTTTCTCTTTGTTTTATCAGTGCCAAGATGATCTGTTGTGTCATATAATTTAAGCAGAGCTTAGCATTTATTTTATTCCTTAGAAGACTTAAGTATTTACTTTTTTAAAGCTATTTTTCAAGAAACCTTTTTTCGCAGTATTATTGAGTTTATTTTCTAAATCAGGATTGAAACAGGAACTTCTCCAGGTGGTGTTAATAAGCCATTCAAGTGCCTTACACAGCTTTGAAGAAACTAGGAATGCAGTGGGCTCAGAGAGGCCCATTGAGGTTTTTAGAAAAGCAGGATTTGTTTTGTTAGGGAGGGATGATTTTGGTGAGATCTTTCTGGAAGAGTTTTCCGCCTCTTGGTGATGCTGAGCACCCCCAAGGTTCCCCCGCCAGGTGACTGGCAGGACCTGTGGCTGCCATGTGACGGTGCCTGGGCCCAACAGCGGGGCTCTGGGCATCCCGGGTGACCTTGGCCTGTCTGCCTGCATTCCCACCCTCTCTGGCCTGGCTGGACCTTGCTGCTGTGTGATTGGAACACTCCCAAATGTCTTGTGAATTTGTAATCAAATTGGCCTCATTGGGAAAGACGCTTAATTAAGAGGTTCAAACAAGCACAGAGGCAGCCCGTGGGTCTCTGGCTTAGTCTGGAGGCAGTGGGGATGCTGTTAGGAGTCCACAGCACAGGCCATAACCCCTCCCCTTGCCGCAGTGGCTGGCAGCGTGCCTGCCTTGCTCTGCCCCGTGCCCTGAGCAGGTGTGAGAGCTCCACGTATCCTAGCACACCCTGAGAGGGGGCCCACAAGCGACCAGTTATGGGTGCCTCAGAGAGCTCACTGAGGGCATCTGGCGAGGCTGGGGGAGGGCATCAGGCAGAGGGAAGAGGTCAGGGGACCGGGGAAGGATCAGAGGCTTCCTGCAGGGCTGAGCCAAGCTGCAGGAAGGGCTGAGCTAAAGGTGGGCACGGCTGTTGCAAGCAGGGCAGGGGGAAGAGAGGAGAGAGGGAAGAAGCTGGGCTGTGTGGTCTCCATAGAGGCATTCAGAGTTCACCTGCAGACAGCGGGGACCCCAGGAAGGTCTGCACAGCTGCACCCCAGGCGTCTCAGCTTCGTCTCAGCTGGCCAAGGAGGCTTGCTAGAGCTGCCTTCCTGAGGGAAACCCTCTGTCCCGCAGGGAGCGGGGAGCCAGCCTTGCTGGGGCCCCACCTGCACACCCAGGCTTACCCCTCATTCTCACAGCACAGATTAGGTTGAGACCCTGCAGTCAATGTGTTACTTAAGGTCTCTTGATTAAGAAAAGAAAAACTTCAACATAGTCATTGTCATTCAGACATTCAGAGAATGGTTGGCCACCAACAATGACTGGGTATTGCTTGCTTAACTTGAAAGCCTGTTGCCTCCTTCTGAGGGTCAGCAACCAGAGCCCCTGGTGCCCTCTCAGCCCAACCAGACACAGGGATGCAGGTCAACCCTCACCACCAGCCCACCCCACCATGGGCATAACTTTGACAAAGGGAAAGAATGATTGGCATCTACTTTTCTCTTTTCTTTGCTAATAATCCTGTTCCTGGCTGCCAAGAGTGGAGTTTCACCCTGTGGAGGTTTGGCTCATATCACCTGGTGGTCTGATTCATACCCTGGCTTGAGGATCCACCAGAAGATCTCCCAGCCTCAGCGTGCGGAAAGCCATTTCCCCAGGCTCGTCCCAGCGCCACCGCTTCCCACCCCTGAGCCAGGACCCCAGGGGATGACTTTGCCCCATGCCTGGCAGAGGTGTGGTGTCAGCACTGGGAGCTGCTCCATCCTTGCCTTGGGGCCAAGGCAGCCCTCATTCACCCCTGCACAGTGGCTGGGCACAGAGGAGCACTCTTCCATCTTGACCGGTACTGCACCGAGAGCCACCAGGCGTCTTCAGCCTCCAGCCTCCTGCGCAACCTCTTCCAGCCACAGTCCCACGAGGGCCCCTAGCCAGGGACGCTGGTCTGTAAATTGTAATCCTCTCTCCAGCCTCAGCTCGCCACTTGTACTTTGTATAAGCTGAACAGGCAGTGCACCTCTGAGTGTCCCTTTTGTAAGGCCCAGGGTTGCACTGATTCTGCAGAGTCTGCAACCTCCTGGAATGTTGTGGGTGCAGGTGAGCCGGCGTGTCCTGGGGAGATGCTGCCAGCGCTCAGGGGCCCCTCCCACTGCCAGTGGGGTGGGGTGGTTAAGTGTTATTAGTGTCTATTCTTAAAATTAAGTGGGCTGGAGAAGAATGGAGCTCCAGATGCCAGCACCGTATATGGAGCACAAAAGCCGGGGAAGCAGGGCCTGCCTTACAGGTGTGACTGACTGAGCCCAGGCCTGCAGGGGCGGAGGGCGGTCCCTCAGAATCGCAGAGGCAGCTCCAGCCTCAGAACCCAGGATAGGAAATGTGTGTGTTTGCAGGGGAGAAGGACAGGGTGCTCGTGGCAGGGCCAGCATGCGACCCCCTCTCCCCTCCCCTGCCTTGGTGAGCCCAGTGTGAACACCAGGCCTCCTCAGCCGTGTTCCTGGGGCTGGGAGGACAGCTCTGGCCCTTCCTAGGACTAGCCCCGCCCCAAGCTAAATGGAAGTGAGGTGGGCTGTGTTAAAGTGGTGTTTTTGGTTTGATTCTGCATCTGTAGCTCAAAGAGGGCAGGCAGCCCCTGGAGTCCTGAGTATTCTGTGAAGGCTCCGTGACCCTGCCATTCATGTGCCATGAAGGCCTTGCCAAGGGTTTATCTGCATGCGTCTCAGTGGGCTTCTGCGTGGGAGTTGTGTTCCTGTGCAAGGGGAGTCTTGCTCCAGGACGGGACAAGTCCCAAGATGCCAGAAAGGCAGTCTCCCAAGGGCCCACCGTGCAGAAGTGTCAATAAACCACGAGTTCTGAACTCTGTTGCCTGACTCCTGCCTTCTTCCTGACCTCTGAGCATCTTGCCTCCTTGAATGTCCAGGATGTGTTTGGAAGCTGCTTTGATATTGGGGACCATCTGCAAATCTTGCGACACTAGCAAATTCTGGAGCGAGCCCTGGTGGCCTGCACCCCTCTGGTCTAGCCAGCAGCCTGATTTTCCTCCCTCAGGGGCTCTGAGCCCACCCCCACTAGCAGCAGGAAGGTGACAGGAAAGGGATTAAGCCCCTGGGACCTCACATTACGTTGGGGAGCCACAGGAGCAGTGGAGACCCCTCATTTTATGTAGGATCCTGATGTGCCCCAGCTGGCTCCATCCTGAGGATGGAAACCCTCTGGCATCATACTCTCACGGGCCACTATTTATACCCTCCTGACACCTCCCAAGGCCAGGTGTGGCACACACCTGTAATCCCAGCACTTTGGGAGGCAGAGGTGGGAAGATCTCTTGAGCTCAGGAGTTTGAGACCAGCCTGGGCAACACAGGGAGACCCCTATCTCTCTAAGTAATCAAAAACTTGGCCCAGTGTGATGGCACAAGCCTGTAGTCCCAGCTACTTAGGAGGCCAAGGCAGGAGGATCACTTAAGTTTGAGGAGCTTGAGGCTGCAGTGAGCTAGGATTGCACCACTGCGCCCCAGCCCAGGTGACAGAGCAATACCCTGTCTCAAAAAAAAGAACAAAGCACTGAGCCTTTCTTCTGCCCCCTGCTCCCATCAGCCCACTCCATCTTCGAAGCCTGCCTGGCACTTGTCCTGCATGGGAGCTCGGCTGCCGCCCAGAAGCGAGTCCACTGCAGGTTCACTGCTGGTGCTTCCCGAGGGGCAGGATTACAGGGTGTGCTTTTTCCCGCTTTAGGATTCCTTCTAAATCCTAATTGTTTTAGTACAGTGAACATGCTTTAAAAATGCTTTTATGTAATCTGTCATGAGAATTTTAAGGAAAAAAGAAAGATAAAAATGCCTTAACAGAAGACCTGGAGAGATCCACCAGCAGCAGGGCCTGGCAGTGCTAAGCCCTGGGGTCCCGGTAGAGAACTGGGAATGGCCATGGTGGCTGCACTAGGCAGAGAGTGAGGCCAAGGGGGTGGGGGGGGGCGAGGCTGAGGGGGTAGAGAGTGAGGCCAAGGGGGTGGGGAGATTGAAGCTGAGGGGGTGGGGAAGTGAGGCCAAGGGGGTGGTGGGCAAGCTTCACCGTTCCTGGTGAAAGGGACTGGCCCCTGATGGCTGCCTGGACAGATATCAAGAACCTGCTTCAGGACCACCACATCTGATGGACTTTCGGGAGCTCCCTACAAGGCCCACCTACCTGCCTCCCTTTGCTCTAGACCTGTGGCTCCCAACCATGAGCTCCAGTCCAGACCTCTATAGCCTCACCCACCCAAGGGTGGGTGACCGGTGGCAGAATGCAGGGCCTTGGCCCCAGCACTGCTGCTGGTTGCTTAGCAGCCTGGAGGGCTGGTTTCCCCTGAACCCCCAGGACAGCACACACAGCCCCAGTCCCATGCAGCTGCAGCTCCTAACACACATGAAATTGCTCTTGGGGACAACTTCAGAGCCTTCTCAGTGCCCTCAGGGGGTCAGTATTGAAGCAGTGATGGGATTCTGTCATCCAGTCCCTCAGCACAGTTGGCCAAGTGTTTGCCACACTGCTTGGACAAGGGATGACAAAGCAGCCCATGAGCCAGCCACCAAGTCACCACCTAAGACAGCGGGGATTCAGCCTAACACACAGTGGTCAAGTGCCCCTGGGCTGCAAGGCTGCTAAGGGGTCCAAGTCTTGGAAAGTCACACGTCTCAGAGTCCCCAACTCTTCACTGGCGTTTGGTCTTTGGTTCCTTTCTCAGTCAGGAGAAAGCAAGGCAGCAGCGGCCGGGAGACTCGCCCTTGTGCTCCTGGCTGATGCCAGGCTTCAAGGGCACACAGACAACATCAGAAATGCCTCCCCGCAGACACTGCCCAGCCATGGCCCAAAGTGCTACCTTGAGCTTCTCCCCAGAATGTGGGGGAGGCCCTCGTGCTGTGCTTGTGGGCGCATGGGGTGACTGGCCCAGGGCTGCCTGAACCCAATCCCTTCCCCACTCCCGCTTTGCCCGCAGACCTCCTCTCCTGTCTGTAGCCTTGCCTGCGCATTTTCTCCTAGTCCTTCCCAAGCCACCTGGGAGAGCTCTCAGTCCCCTCCCCCGGCTCCCAGCAGTGCCTGCTGTCCGGGGCTGCAGCCTCCAACTCTCCAGGACCAGCGCCAGAAAGGTAGCTTTATCTGTGTCCACCGTGTCACAGAGAGGGCATCCTTAGGGAAGCAAGGGACCTAACCCTGGATATAAGAGCTGGGACCAGGCCCTCAGCTCCCCACCATACCTACTCAACTATCCATGTCCTCCTCCCCTCATCCCTGCTCCTCTGAAGCTCCCAGCAGAATCTCCTTCCTAAGTATCTGCTGTCTTGATTGTTCCCTAGTGAACTGGCTCACGTGTCTGAAACTCATCTTCACAGCCAGATGGTGGCTCGATGCTTTCCCTCTGCACCTCATTTTCACAGAGCTTGGAGCCCAGAGAGCACCCTCTCTGGGTAGAGGTAAGGGAGGCCCAAGGGAGTGAGGGTGCACAGGTAGGCAGAGGGGCTGGAGCTCCTGGCACCTACAAGCGTTCACCCATGGGAATAGGCCACCGTGTGGCAGGTGGAGGTGGGTTTGGAGGTGGAAGGGGTATGAACCAAGCCCTCAGCCAGGAGGGAGACAAACTTGGAGCTAAGTCCAGTACAGACAGCTGAGGCCACGGAGTCTGCCTGGGGAAGGGTTGGGAAGCCCGGGAGTTGGGACTGGGCCTCACACCCACCAAGTTGGGGCTTCAGGTGGTGGAAGGGATCCCAAAGCCAAGGTCCTCCAAGCAAGAGCTGATGTGTGGCAGAGCCAGGGAAACAGAGGCAAGAATCCCAGCTGGGAGGGCTGATGCCTGGCCTCCCCCAGAGTTCCCTCAGAAGGTCCCAGGATCCCAGCTGCCTTCTCGTCATGCCGATCCCTCCTGTTCTCAGCTGGCTGGTCTGGGGCGGAGCTGGGCTCTGAACCATTTGAGGACAGAAACTCAGCTGGGGTGCTCCATGCACAAAGCTGTCTTAGATCTGCTTCCTCGGACGTGGACATTGGAGTTCTGGACATCTGGGCCTTCCACAGTCGAGAAGTGGGCACAACCCCTCGAGAGCCAATCTTGGGAGGTGGAAGTTGCAGTGAGCCGAGATCGTGCCACTACACTCCAGCCTAGGTGACAGAGTGAGACCCTGTCTTAATGAAACAAACAAAAATCACATTTTTGCTGGGCACAGTGGCTCTCGCCTGTAATCCCAGCACTTTGGGAGGCTGGGGCGGGTGGATCACGAGGTCAGGAGTTCAAGACCAGCCTGGCCAAGATGGTGAAACCCCATCTCTACTAAAAATACAAAAATTAGCTGGGCAGGTGGCAGGCACCTGTAATCCCAGGTACTTGGGAGGCTGAGGCAGAGAATTGCTTGAATCCAGGAGGTGGAAGTTGGAGTGAGCCGAGATCACGCCACTACCCTCCAGCCTGGGCGACAGACTGAGACTCAGTCTCAAAAAAAAACAGCCAGCCCCGAGGATTTGTGCTACCCCCATAGACGGTCCTGGGCAGGTGTGTAGCTCCAGGACCTCTTCTTCACACATTGCAGGCTCAAAAGGCCTGCCTCTGGGGCCTGCTCCCTCCCTCTCCCCAGACTTGTCTACAAAAGGAGTGCCAAGTCACTTTTACTCAGGCTTTCTTTTTTTTTTTTTTAAGAGACAGGTCTCTGCCACCATGCTGGAGTGCAAATGGTGCCAACACAGCTCCCTGCAGCACCAGCCTCCTGGGATCAGGCGATCCTCTACCTCAGCCTCCCAAGCAGCTAGGACCATAGGTATGCACCACCACGGCTGGCTAATTTTTTCTTTTTTTTTTTTTTTTTTTAGGAGATGAGATCTTACTATGTTGCCCAGGCTAGCCTTCGTGAGGTTCTTTTTTATTATTATTAAAAATTTGAAACAGAGTCTCACTCTGTAGCTCAGGCTGGAGTGCAGTGGTGTGATCTCGGCTCACTGCAACCTCTGCTTCCCAGGTTCAAGCGATTCTTCTGCCTCAACCACCAGAGTAGCTGGGATTACAGCCATGTGTCACCACCCCTGGCTAATTTTTGTATTTTTAGTAGAGATGGGGTTTCACTATGTTGGCCAGGCTGGTCTTGAACTCCTGACCTCAAGGCATCTGCCTGCTTCAGCCTCCCAAAATGCTGGGATTACAGGCATGAGCCACTGTGCCCAGTCGTAGTCAGGTTTTGGATGGCCTCTGTCCACACTCACTTTTATGAAAGCCACATGCACACCAGCACAATATGGCATTCCTTCAAAGTATTATCTAAGCAATTACCATTACATGAATATTTCTAGGTAAAATGTTAAATGGATGTAGAAACTTTAAAGGATATAAAGAGTGATTAAAATGTATTTTGCATTTCTTAAATTATAAAAGTAACAACATGACAAAGCTTGGAAAAGAGAAAAAGAAAAACAAGACTTGTTTTCAAGCATGGAACACAATAATTGTGTTTTAAAATGCAGTTTAAGGCCGGGCACAATGGCTCACCCCTGTAATCCCAGCACTTTGGAAGGCCGAGGTGGGCAGATCATTTGAGGTCAGGAGTTTGAGACCAGCCTGGCCAACATAGTGCGAAACCTTTCTCTACTAAAAATATAAAAATTAGCCAGGCATGGTGGTGGGCACCTCTAGTCCCAGCTACTCGGGAGGCTGAGGCAGTAGAATCCCTTGGACCCAGGAGGCAGAGGCTGAGATGTCAGTGAGCCGAGATCATGCCATTCCACTCCAGCCTGGGGGACATAGCGAGACTCTGTCTCAAAAAAAAAAAAAAAATGACAACAACAACAAAAAATGCAGTTTAAGAAACAAAACCTCTTGCAATAAAAGGCATCCCATTTTGCCCAGAAAGAC